TGGGTTTATTCAATCTGAAGCTCATTTCCTGCCATTATTTACCTTTTCCTGCAGCTTCTCCAGGACAGCAGGATCATTCAGATCCACAGCAGAGTTTCCCACCAGCTTCACTTTCACCACTTGCTTTGTGAACGGCAGGTCTTTAAGAGAAACATCCAGAACATTTCATTAGCTACATTATTCCAATATGGATGTCACCTCCTGAAATCTGTCTGCCATCACAGCATCAGGACAGGTTGCTGAATATTACAGTGTTCCAGTTTTCCCTATCTCTCCTTTTAGCTTCCTGCTGTCCCGCTTCCACAGAATGAACCCTGATTAGGAAGCGTTATACGCCCTTCAATCTGGGGATGGCACTGAGCTGAATGGCCTCATAATCTAGATGCTCCCGGAGGGTCGATTTTCTCTCAACTAATCAGAAGATTAAACTTGACAAAAGTTGTTTTGTACTATAAGGTATAAACTGCATTTAATTGAGTTAGGGGTACTGAGCGGGGGCAGAGCTGGATATGATTACAGTTAAAGGAACTCGCCAATATAGATTTAAGAAGTAGATTGCATCTCCAAACTACTGCTGCTAGTTTGGCTGCAATGATAGAAAACCGTTTATAGATCCAACAGGTAGCGCTCTGATGCAGGGATGGAAACTTTGTTAAATTTTTTCCCCTAATCCTCAAAATGAAAAGAACATCAAAAATCAGATTTCTTTATTTTGTTTCTATAATTTCATCAATGCAACTAAACTTAATATTGTGATGGAATTTACACTCACAGTATCAAATATCGTACTGTTAACATTAATCATTTATGTGACTCCAGTCAGAGGGATTGCTGACCTACAAATGTTCTTGTAGTTTGAATTGATTAGCGGTTGTTATTATTAAACATTTATCTGTTAAGAAACAAATCTTTAAATATGCATCAACATCAACCACATTTAAATGTTAAAGTGTAAAATATAAAACAAATTATTTAAATAACAGCTTACCATGGTGGCAGATAAAGGGTTTCTTTAGATCACATGTCCAGTCGGCCCAGTGTCCCTTGGCTGTGAAATATGCACCTGTACATTTTTCTACCCCGCCGTGAGGATCACCTGGTGCCCAGCTTTCAAACACATACATGGTTCCATCCGACCACTTATAGTTTTCTCTATAAAGGCCCATCCAGCTGAACAGACCTGCTGGGATCACCGCCCTGATCTCTTCGTTCTCCGCCAGGGTCCTGGGAATGGCCAGCTCTGTATGGCGTTCCCTGCAGTAGCTCCGAGCGTCCATCCAGGTCATCGGAGTGTTGATGAAAACAAATTTTACATTTTGTCCTAAAAATGATAAAATAGAGAAGTGTTAGTCGAAAGATAACTCCACTTTGAGATGAGTTCAGGAAAACTTTTATTTTGTTTCTCCACCTCAACAAACGTACAGCCAACTGTTGACGCCCACAACCAAGAGAGCCGTAGGCTACCCTCCAGAGCCCCCTAGTGGGCTGGCATGATATGCGAACATAAACAAAAGACTAACAGAAGCTGGACTTGAGAAGCTTACCGTAAATTCTCTAATATAGGCCCGGGCCTTTATTTCACTCAAGTGCATCGCGGTCCAGGCCTTTATT